CAGCACCCTCAACAACAACAACATCAGCCGTATCTTGGTCACCAGCTTCAACCACATGCCGAAGATCCGCACTCTGTGAGTAAAGGTCCTTGTTCCTTCCGGCTCCTTCTCGTGTCTTACACACCCAGAGTGCAGTGCTCTGAGCTGCTGTGCTCTAAGCTGCTGTGCTCGGCACACAGATCCCGTATTCAAATGCCCCCTCCTCTTGCTGTGACCCAGGGGTGTGTTGGCAAGTGAGGGCAGACGGGGGGAAGGGTCGCAGTGCCCTCCGTGATTCCGAGCCACCGTTCTGTATCAGGAGGACTCATTCTCTTCACCACCGGACTGTGGGATGATTCTTGCATTGTGTGGCTATTTTCCATCCTGATGGGAGAGATTATTCCTTTTACATTGTCACAGAACTATGACTTCATGAGTCACTATTTTTCTTCACTATGTCACAGACCATTGGCAGTTCTGTCATATTGCTGGCGGTTACAGTGGTTTTCCCCTGGGAATGGTGAGGAAAGGGCGAATCAGTCTCTCCTCCTCTCATTTCCACCTAACCCCTGCTCACCTGCTCCCTGGATGAGATTCTGGTATTAGAATATCGTAATTCTGATACGTGGTTCTTTATCTTTAATATGTTGGGTAGACTTAAACCTACCAAGGTATATCCTCAGGAAACAAACAGCCTCACGATACCAAATACCAAGAGCAATTCTAGTGCCCTCGTGACCTGGGGGGTTTTCCCTCTGTTCTCAATCAGAAGCCTCTTTGTCACGTTCTCCACAAATGGACTCTGTTGGCTTTTCCAAAGACTCTTAAACTTGGTGCTTGCTTTATGTTGGTGGAACCTCAGTGGTGTTTGCCTCACAGTAGTTGGGGAAAGCCACCTCCAGGGGTGTCCAGCAAAGACATTTAGGGCCAAGACCAAGGGCTAAAACTCCTGTGGGGCCCTTTATTAGCCCCATGTCCTCCATTCCATTTTCTGTAAATAGGGGTGGTGGTGAGGATCAGATGAAATGAGATACAGAAATCGCCTGCCATGTGGTGAACAGTAAATAATATTGATTGCTGTACCATTACTACTATCACACTAGTTATCCAGAAATCAGGACCGAAAGTTCCAAGCTCCCAGCTTATCTGTGCTCTCTGAGCAATGCAGAATCCATGAGATTTGAAAAATCCTGAGAGCAGTGGTTCCTAAGTGGGGTCCCCAGAACACCCGCATCAGCGTCACTTAGAACTTACTAGAAAAGCAAGATTTCAGCGCGCCTCCCCCCCCCCAGATGTATGGAATCAGAATATCTGGGGGGGACATAGCAATCCGTTTTTAGCAAGCAAGCTTTCCTGGAGATTCCAAAGTTTGTAAAGTCTGAGAACCACTGCATTTGTGAGCAAGTGATCCAAGAGGCCATTTTGAAGGAGGCCATACAGAGCACCCCCAAGGAGGACAGAGAGTTTGGAGTCAGGCAGACCTGAGTTTACGTATGAGCTCTACCACTTCCTTTGGTGAGTCCCTCATCTCTGTGTGCTTCATGGAATGTGGGGTAGTACATTGTGACAATGAAGTTAGTAAGTTATGACAGTGAAGTGCTCCCTAGCGTGTACCATGCCTGATACCTGGTGTGCACGTGGCAAACACTGGTTATTATAAAGAATAATAACAATCCAAGCCTAGGTTCCACCCTC